GCACCGTGGCATGGCAGAGACTGCCCGGCTTCGCCCTGCGACGCCGCTGCCGGGCATGGGGCTTACCGCGAGCAGCCGGTCGCCGATCTGCAGACGCCCGTCCTTCTGGGCAGCGCCTCCCTCGATGATCTTGGTGATGTAGATGCTGTTGTCCCCGGGGATGTGCTGGTTCCCGATGCCCCCAGCGATGCTGAACCCCAGGCCTGAGGGGGAGCGAGAGGGCAGGTGAGGGCTGAGGGACAGACAGATGGACGGAGGTGCGGGCTGGCACCACGGCCCCTCTGCCTCACTGGGCTTCCCACCCTGCCCCAAACCTGGCAGGCAATGGGCCACCCCACTGCTGTGTGGGGACAGCCCAGCCACTGTGCTGTGGGGCTGTCCCACACCCTGTGCCCCACAGCACTGTGCGGCATCCTGCACTGTGGTGGTGCCACCTTGCACCTCACATCCCCCATGATGCTGCCTTGCACCCCGTGACATCCCACACCGAGGGGTCACCCCACACTGTCCCGTGGGGCAGCAGGAAACCCCGGTCCTGTGAGCAGAGCGAGGGGTTCACCTTTGGGGCCCTTCATCAGGTTGACCTCCATGATGGTCTCTGGCGGGGGCTGTCGGCGGCGCACCACGAGCCGCACCACGGGGCCCGCTTCCTTCAGGGCCTCCACGGCTTTGCTGTGCACCACCTCGGAGACGTCCACGTCATTCACCCGCAGCACACAGTCGTTCACCCTGCGGGCACAGGGTGGTCCTGAGCTCCCCTGGGGAACCACCAGCCCATGCCACCCTCCTTGGACACCTCTGCCACACTCCGCTGGCCGTGCAGACCCTTGTGTGAAGGAAAGCTGCTCAAGCTGGCCAGATCCTGCCCTGCCAGGGTGAGAGTGGGGTCCCCCCCAAAGTGGGAGGCAGCGGGTCTGGTCCCCACGGTGCGACCCAGATGGAGATGGGAGATGAAGGGGAAAGGCTGGATCCTACCCTGGGCTGCAGGAGGAAGAATGGGAGCCGGAGCCTGGTGCAGGGAGGGGAGGAGGGGTAGCTGCAGATGGGAGGCTGGTGGCAAGGCACTGCGGCCATCCCTGCACTGAGGGGACCTGGCTGTGGGGAAGGGTTGGGGCGGGCTGGGG